AAAGATAACGAATAAAGAAAAGAAAAGAGAGTGAGGGAGAGAGAAAGAAAGAAAACCTGTGGCAACAAATGTCAGAGCTCTCCGGCTTGTGTATCAACCATATTTTTAAAAAAACCGCATTCCAGAGATTAAAAAAGAGATCGCCCCAACAGACAACTCAGCTTTATTGCCACAGGAAAAAGGAACACGAAGGAAAGAGAAAGAAAAGAAAAACATTTTTCGAAAACGTGGGGGAGGGGGAGGAAGGAAAAGTAGTTTAGGAAATTCTTTTAGATTTTGGGAGAGGCAAGGGCAGCGCGGTGCTTCTGAGTCTCAACTAACTTTTTAAAGACCGTTTCTGGTGCTGTTAGCGCCTCTTCCTTAACAGCACAATTACACCAGGCTGTAAAACAAACGTGCTAAAATGTTAACTGCTAAGATCGGTGTCAGGAATAATACACAACGTGCCACACGCTCCAGCCATCCACTCGGCTGGAATCATGTCTTGCACTCGCCTGATAACGTTAATAATAAACGGAGCAGTCACTAGCTTTCTCTCTTCCCTGCTCCTGACCCTTAACGTGTTCTTACAACTTGTATGAACACGAGCAAAGTCAATAAGGGAGCCGCGGCAGCGGCACATGACGGCGCACGGGTGCTCCCCCTCTCTTGACACCACTTGAACCCTCCTGCAGCTCCCAGCCACTTACCCATTCCTCTGAGCAGGACACCTCTTGGGCTTCCCTAAATCCCAAACGGAGACCTAAGCCCAGAGACAGGCTCCCAGCCTCCTGCGCTCCCGGCTGCACTAATCCCCGAGGCTTTCTGATCTCCAACGAGGAGGCAGCAGGGGCGTGAGGGGAAAAGGGCTACAAGGAAATCTGCTTCCAGACGAGAGAGCCTTGACTTCTGCATTTCAACCTCAGGGCAACGTGGGCAGGGCTGGGCTGGGCCGAGCGCCGCAGCCCACCGCTCCCCCGAGCCCGCCCCCGGGGGCGGCCCCGCCGCCCCGCCGCCCGCCTAATGGCCGGGAGAGATGACGGACAGCGCGGTGCTGGCTGGCCTTCCCCTCTTCCTCGCACGC